CGATGGAATGCGCCGGATCGTGCGCAGAAGTAGAAAAACAAAATCACAACAAAACAATCATAACCTGTAAATAAAAATGACAGAACAGAAGGTAATTAACTGACATTTGTAATTTTTATTTTTTGACTGTAGTATATGAATAATTATATTATTNTATGGATGTTTCTTTATCAGAAAAGAAAAAGAAGTTTGACAATAGCTGAACGATATATGATTTTGGAACGTCTGGAAAGAGGTGAATCTGGGACAACCTTAGCAAAGGAATTCGATGTATCACGAGCAGCTATTACATTAATAAAAAAAAGAAAAGAAGATATTTTACAAGCAAAAAATGTTTTACAAAGCAGTCAGGGAAGTGTAAACAAAAAAAGATATAGGGGGACTGAAGATCAACTCTTAGAATCGAAATTGTATGAATGGTTTGTACAAAGACGAAGTATGGGCTTGCCCATAAGTGGCCCAATTCTTCAACAGAAAGCTTTGCTGTTTAATCAACATTTTAACGGTTCAAATACATTCAAAGCCAGTAATGGATGGCTTAATAATTTAAAAAAAAGGCATGGAATACGGTACTTAACCACGCAAGGTGAGAAATTGTCAGCGGATCCGGCAGCTAGCGAANATTTCAAACAAAAAATACAAAATATAATGAAAGTTACGGAAATAAGTTCTAATCAAATTTACAATTGCAATGAAACTGGTCTCTATTGGAAGATCATGCCCAATAGGACTTTCGTTTGTCGAAATGAGAAATGCGCTNAAGGTCGCAAGAAACCGAAAGATCGGGTTACCGTTATGGCATGTACAAATGCATCTGGAAATCACAAAATTCCTTTATTTGTTATAGGAAAATCTGCGCACCCTCGATGTTTCAAAGGAATAAAAACTCTGAGCGTCGTCTATGAACACCAAGCCAATGCGTGGATGAATCAAAATTTAATGGTAAAATGGTATTTTTCTGTTTTTGTGCCAGAAGGAACTAAAGAACATAATTTACAAAATATGCCAGACAAAAAGATTATTTTAATAATGGACAACGCTTCTTGTCATCCACCGGCTGAAATATTGAATAACATATGTACTTTTTGCACAGTAATTTTTTTGCCACCAAATGTGACGTCATTAATCCAACCTTTAGATCAAGGAATAATCGAGAAATTTAAAAAAAACTACAGAAAGATATTAATTACTAGAGTATTAGCTGAAGATACAGAAAATAGTGAAAATTTCTTGAAGTCACTGAATCTTTTACATTGCTGCACTTTTGCTGGACTGGCTTGGGAGACAGTTTCATCTACAGATATTAGAAACTGTTGGAAGAAGTTGATTCCGTTAGAAAATGATACAGCTTCGTCTTCAGGAATACAATCAGCCGATGCTATTGCGTTACATTTATTAATTCGACAAATTCCATTATTTGAAGAATTATCTTTTGAAGACACTGTTAATTGGCTAGACATAGACTCAGACGAAATTGGATGGCAAGCTCGGACTGATGAGGAGATCCTTCTAGGTATTATTATTAATGAAAATGATACAGAAAATGTAATGAACAACTTATGTGATGAAGAGCAAGAAATTTTTGATGATGATAATAATAATACTTCGCGTATTCCATCTCCCAGAAACGCTTTGAGTGGACTAAGAACATACATAAATTGGCACCAAAGATCAGAAGACGCTTCTATTGCTACTTTGCAGACACTCGAAAAGTGTCATCAGTCACTTATTGAGAAATTAATACGCATCTAAAAATCATTAAAACCTGAAAATATGACTTCCATTATCTATTTTATAATTCATTTCTATTTTATAATTAATATTTCTATTTTATAATTATATTAATATTTCTATTTTATAATTAATATTTCTAGTCTCAAACCAAATACGAAGACTGTTATGTTTAATATAAAGTTTATGAGTATATTTTTTAAAACTCAGTGTAAAAAGATTGACTAGATTGTACGTGTT